TCAAAGAAATGGTCAATAAGAAGGTGGAGGGCCCGAACTAGGAGCCTGGACAGCCATTCAGCCACGCGGTAGAAGTTTGGAACGGCATGGCCGGCTCCGAATGGCTGCCCATAAATCTCAAACAGCTTTGCCTGTTTGTTTGCGGGATCGTACACCGCGGTGATGGAGATGGAGACTTGCCTATCGGGCAGGGGAATCTGCCTATAGGCTCCCTTCATGTCCTCGGTCCCTACACAGGCGCCCTCCTTGAAAGTCTCCTGTAGGGAGCGAATCATGATCGCGAGATAATCGACGTTAGCCATCTCTATCTTCTGCGTGCGATGCGCAGCAGAGTTGTTCAGGCAAGCCGAATGGTCATCGATACGGCGAAACTTTGGTTTACCAGATTCGTCGACCCCTTGTTCTAGTCCAAAACTTGGCACCACGTTAAAGAAACTGCCGTGCCTGTTTTGGATGTCTTCCAGGGTGAACGGTCCAGCCATGGAACCCTCGGCAACTTCCTTAACAGTCTTGTCCCAGATGGCCGCTGCGGTCTGCTCGCTGGACGACTCGGCCATCCGCACGACACGATTCATCATGGTGGTCCTGTGCCTTTTGGACAGACTGAGAAGTTCTTTGACGGATATGGTTGCTGGCACGTCATGTTCGAAAAAGAACGGAGAGGACAGAGCTTTGCCCACTATGGGCATGCCTGTCAGGCACAGAGAGGGGACCGATGTATCTTCGATCCCAAAACGGTCCTGCAGTGCCTCCATGAGAGCGGTCCTCGGCTTCCTCCCAAGCTTAAGGGCACTGACAGAAGTGAGCTTCTCATGGATGCTCTGCTTGTCGCGAACTTCCGCGCACTCTGAGAGCTGTTTTATCTCACCCAGTGTTTTCAGTCGATGCCTTGGCAGGCTCATTCGGAGGGACGACATGTAATCCAAAGCCTCCTGATGATCCCTCTTCAGGGAGTCGAAAGAATCAAATGGGTGAACAAGCTCCAGAGCCCTGTTCAGATGAAGCTCGGGGTCATTCAGTCCGTCCGGGATCAGTTGAACCCTCTTGCCGTAGCTGGGCTGCTTGCCCGACTGAACTGCCGTCTGTCTCAGCCAGGGTTCAGTTTTTGGCTCCAGACGATTATTCTCTTGGGACGGGCCAGAAGAGCCAGAAGCTTCATTCTCCAAGAGATGGGCTATGTCGTTTAGCTCATTCCAGACACCTTTGCCTGATCTCACCAAAGGTGTCCCTGAAACGAACGAACCCATTCTAGAGGCAACAGCTTGACTCAAAGGAGCATTTGGACCGGAGAAGACTTCAAGGAAGGGACCTGACAATTCAGCGTCGGAGAGGGCGGAGGCATAAAAACTCGCAGAATCCCGCGGAATACTCCCTTTCGTCCCCGGTTTTGAATTGCAGAACTTTCCCGTCCTTAACCAAAGGCTTCCACTTCAAATGGGAAAGACCCGTACGCGCGCAGAACCTATCAGACTCACACAAAGTATTTACAAAGGTATCCCAGAGGGAAGTTGAGTTGACTATCATTATCTGATATTTCCTGCAGCGGCTGCCACGGAACATACAGTTGTGATAGTACACCACAAAGACTCCGGGGAGGTCCATCAGTCTTTTCCAGGCATCCAAATGAAGGGCAATGGAACGCCCAGGGGCCTCTAGGGAGAAGAAATCTCCCCTAGCGTGGATTTCAATGCAATGTTCCGCACTGAGAACGGCAAGCTTAGTATCCACGTCAACCCTTGACCTAGACGTCCTGGAAAGTTTGGCCAACTCCCCTGGGATTCCCTCTGGAAAGGATTCGCTTCTAAGTGGACGAGGTGGGTTCTTAACACCTTGTATTGGAAGCTCGGGAGAACGTAGCACAATTAGGGGCAAAGTGGGAAAGGCGAGCTTCACGAGCGCTAGCCTCAAACTCCATGCTATCCCGAAAGACGTCCTTACCCCGAAGGAGATCCCAAGGCTCTAGAACCCTACTCACCCGAAGAGAACTCCCTAGTAAAAACACGCGGCTCAACCTTTTTGCAAGCGGGCTCTGCAAGAGGTCTGCCGAATCCCTACATCCGCCTTCTGGGCCCCTGCCTTTTTGGCGGCCTCTCTCTTAGCGGCGGCTTTCTCCTTCGCCTCCTTTTTCTTCTCCCGCTGTTTCTTCCTGAAGTCGGCGGGGAGAGGGCAGAAGGGGAAGTGCTTACTTCCGCGCACGAGGCACTTCTTCAGGGCTTTCGGCGGATCACCAGGGTCCTTGGCTTTTGCTTGGTCCCGCCTCCGTCTTTCCCCTGGGAGACCGCAGTCGGGGCGCGCTCCAAACCCTGGTCAGGCAACGACTCCAACACAGGATCCAGCAGGCGCCACAAGGCGATCGTATCATCATCCAGGTGATATCGGATGGCAGTATCCAAGCTGCCGACACTGCACAGCCACTTCAAAATTTCCTCGTGGAGGGCACGGTCGAACCGCCTAACCTCACTCAAGGTCGGGTTCCTCATGCCCACGGGGACCACGGCCCTCATTTTTCCTACATACTTGTCGGTGAGGGCACGGTAGGTTTCAAAACCTGCCACTCCCACCACCAGGCTCTTCCACATCATCTCAAGATCGGCCACCTTCTCCCCAGGCGGGGGAACCGTCTCGGAATCCTTCACCTTCAACTGGTCATCTTTGACCGTGATCTCAGGCTAGCCCTTTGGCAACTTCCCGGAACGTGCAAGGATGCCCTCGTCCTCCATGCTGATGTAGTTCTCCCAGGCCAGGTGCTCGTAGGACGCGCCAGGTGGAACCAGGACCTTCGAAACCTTGCTGAGGGTGAAGAGGCTCGGGCGCTCGGTGTCGGAGGCTGGCGCTGGCACGCCGTTCTCGACCGCGCTTTTCTCCATCGCCACGGCCGAGCTGAGGTCCACCTTCGCCTTCGGCTTGTCCGGCGAGGCAGCGAGCCCTTCTATCTCGGACTTGGCCACTTCACGGGCCATTGCCCACAGACCGCCGCGGCGTCCTCGCTGAGGCGGAACTCCTCCCACGATTCTGCAGGAGACCTCCAAAAAACGACGACCTCGCCGTCGTCTTCCAGGAAAGCTGCCCTTGGCAGTACACTTTCCCGGAGGAACCCTTCCAGGTCGTCCGCCTTGGTTACGCGGTATGCCAACTGTTCAAAGGTGGCTATCCCCATGCTTCCCAAAAGCAGGTAGTCAGACTCCGCCACGCCAAACCTCACAGCAGCCCTTTTTAAAGGCCACCGGCTGGCTCCCAAGCGTAGACATCGCAAGAGGATCGGCGCTGGCGGGCGGCCCTTCTCGCTTCAGAGCTCACCAAGGTGCAAGACACGCAACTACTCAAACTGCTCAACTCCGGACATTTCTCTGGAAAAAACACAGTCACGAAGCGTGCATCCTACACTGGTGCCCCAAGTTCATGCCTTCTGACTCGCGACACGCTCCGCAGCACCTCGGGAACATCTCCGCAAAACTCCGCCGGCGCTGATGCGGTACTGGCACATCCTGCAGTGTGGGCCTACGGCTCCAAAGCACCTCACACACAGCTCAGTACACGCCGGGCCTCGCCGGCCACCTCCCATGGAGGGAGAGTACCCAGACTCGTCGTCCGAGCCCTCAGCCAGGCAGCTGCTCAGGACGCCCTTGTCGAGCTCGGTGGAGTCGTCCCTCTCGACCTGCTCCAAGTGGGGGTCGCGGCTGGCGCGTTGAAACTCCTGCGCCAAGAGCTGCACAGGCCAAGAACAGGCTCCTCGAAGAGGCTGGGGCCGGCCACAGCCTGGCTTCCGGCCGCCAGCGGCGGGGTGCCGCCGTCCACCGCTCCATGGCTCAACTCTACGGCTCTTCCCGCACTAACAAGGTTGAGGGGACAGTGCCAGAGCGCAGGGTGTGCAAACACATCTCCTGCGCCTTCAGTACCAGCAACTGAGCCTCCCTCATGTAGGTGTCGGCCATGGACTCGTCCTTTGACCCCCAATCGCCGGCAAACCTTACGGTTCTCGGCGATATGCCAAGGGTCTGCATCATGGGCGTCAACGTGGCCTTTGCACCGTGCCACCTCAGGCTCTGGATCTCCTCAATGGTCATGCCCACTGGGTGTCCAGCTCTGAGGTAATTCAGGAGGGCTGCCCTCACTAGGATAACATCTCCACCAATGTGGCGGGCATGTTCGTCCAATTCTCCATGTCCTTCGAAGCAGACTTGCCGGAGTGGTCATCCACCTTCCAGCTGCTTCCATGGGACTCAAGCAAAAGCTTGAGGAGGCAGTCGAGCCACCCATCTCCTTCCTCCGAGGCTCCCTTTATGCTAGCAATCCAAAGCCTCGCCTTGTTCTTCCCTCTCAGAACCCTTGACCTGGGCGACGATACCCAAACCTCCCTTCCGCCTGGTCCACTCCAGGGCAGAGATCGGGGTGTTCAGGAGATCGTCGCGGCGGATGGACGCTTGCACACAGAGACGCAGCTTGCCGGAAGCCACTGTCATCCTTAACCATCTTTTTCAGGGCACGCAAGCTCTCCTCTGAGAAACTCTTGGCAGGACGCCGCTCACCCTTCTGGCCCTTGTACCGGAGAGCTAGCCTCTTCGACCTGCTCCACGCCTTTGCGTCAATGTCGAACCCGAAGGCTTTCGCAAAGAAATCAACTGCAGAGAGCAAGGAGATCGGCGTGTAGAACCCGGCGCCCTTTTGGACCAGGGTCTCCACATACACGACCACAGAGTAGTAGCTCATGAAGCCACCTTCCGGGTCTTTTGGTGCGGACTTCCTTGCCCAGAGGAGCTCCCCGCTCAGGTTCGAGTACCTCAGACCTGTGGCGGCTTTGCTCGGGGAGACGTGCACCCGAAAACGGGTTTCGTCCAACTCGCCCAGGCTTGCCAACCACCTTTACCAGGTCCATCTCAACTCCGGAGCTCACTGAAGTAGTCCAAGGCCTCCTGGATAAAGCGCAGGATGCCTTTCTCTTCCTTCTCCCCTATGCTGAGGGGATCCCGCCGCGAACTCGGGCCGACAACCCTCCCTCGGTGACCTTTTCAACCTCAGCATTGGGTGGGGGACGAGCCGCTCGCTTTCCGAAGTTAAAGGCCTCGCTGCCGCTGTCATCCTGGACAGTCTCTTCGCGGGCTCCCTTCCACCTCGGGAGCTGCCAGCCGCCTTCCTTCTCTGATGGAGGGGGAGCAGCTTTCTTAAGGAAGGTCTCCTCGGCACTCGCTGCCTGCCCCTTGGCCCAAGGAGACAAAACTCCTCCCGTCTTTCAGACCTCGGTCCCGGCCTGGGGAAGGAACTCTTCCCTTGTGGAAGGCGGGGACTTGGTCCCCTTCCTTCCCCTTCTTAAGGAGAAGGAGGAAGTCGGTAACCTTGGTGCCCAAGGCCTCGGCCCCCATTTCTACCAGACGGATGTACTCATCTGGTTGGCAGCGGGCTTTCAGCAGGCTGGCGGCCTCGACCCTCGCCGCCCAACTTCCTACTGCCATGATACCTTCGGACCCCGAAAGGACGAAGTCCTCCTTTCCTTCGATGTCCGGTACAGGTGCCGCAGGGCC